AAGAACTTCTTCTACCAAATTATACTTCTTGGGATGCCGACTTTCCAGTTCAGTTCTGTTTTTGTTAATTGGGATAGCAGATATAACATCACCGTAGGATACTGGTTGTTTGACCAATTTTCCGTTTAATGTGCCAATCCAGATACTAACAATTAAAAAGTAATTTGTGCGAAATGTCTTCTCACAGGTAAACTTAACGCTATAAATTCAACCCTACTTTTCTACTTCGGTTACTTTGCTTCCGTTTGCTTAAAGTTCAAAAGGCCTTTGAATATGTACTCCATAATTGAACTGTTCATTCTTCAAAGAAAGAATGTCACAGGAACTAGCTAATTTCTGGATTTCTAGATTAAGGAAGATTTTGAATTATGGAATAATCCACTAAAGGTGGGTAGCCTTTGGAGAGTTTTGCAAAACAAGACTGCTATTCATAATTGTGCGTGAAGACTATCATTGTCATTCGACGTAGTTTAATTCAAACATGGTTCAAAGAACGGAATCCGGAATATTGATCTTATTTTCCATATGTTTATTTAAAGTGACGTCCTATTCGGTCCGATTTTAGTTTTCTCTCAAAGCTAACCAAACTATGCTATATTTTATTCACAATGAAATCTCCACCAATATAAATATTTCGTTATGATGAACAATCAGTATCGCGGCTGCCGATCCCGTGTTTCTATCGCATCTGAAGCGTAGAGACTAGAATTTTATAATCTCAATACTATGTGACCAAAAAGCTTTGTTTTTTTACCTTCACAAATCTATCATTTATAACATTTTGGAGAAGTATTTTGCTGTCTTGATGAAGCTAATTTAGCTGCTAATGGGTCCGTGTTATGTGTAGGATATAAGAACCACAACCACCTTTTTGAGGAGAAGCAAACGTGATCATTGGAGCAAGACTTTGCTTCGACTAGCGTTTCGATTTATGCTCCAGGGCATCAACAGTGATAGCATAAGAAAATTTAATGTGACTTCTTGTCATTCGACCCTTGGAATAAATTAGCTTTACCAGAATTTGACTCAACAACTTACATGATTGATTTGCAGTCGTAGAAAATAAAAACGAGGCAAACGCATTAAATGCATTATAAGCGTTAGTTTTTATGTATGTTCAATTCCAAACGGATTGTCCTTATCTCACATATATGTTTGATTTCAGAATAATGTGTCAATATCAACCAAAAAACCTAACTGAAACTAAAAGAAAAGCTGATATATGTTACAATTTCAGTCATGCAAAGTCAATGGGAGTTAAATAAAATTGTTAAAATATCAATTAATCCGGTAAATGAATTTACAGGCGAATCGTAGCATTTATTTTACTATGCGAGATCGAGAACCTAGCCGTTTCAGTTAAAAGGGAGAGTCGTTAAAATCTGCTTTTTGTTCCTCAATAAATGGTGAGAGTAAAATTAAGAATGTTTTGAAAGGCCACCATTTTTTTTCATATCGCATTAATGTAGAGATGTTGCAGGTGCATTCTGCGTGTATAACATTCAAGTAACTTTTCGGTTTTATTCATAGCTTGCTTGCTAAGAGGCATTTTCTTTGAATTTATTATGAAGTTATGATGACTGGGACTGTTTACCATAAGGAGCCAATAGGGCTCGGCAGACGTTTACAAATTGTGCGGCTCTTGCTATTCTTAAACAAACGTTTTATTTGGTTACCTGAATGCGCTTCTTCTTCCGCTTTATTTAGAGCCTATCTGGACCCTTCACAACTCTTCGCGTGTTTCGAGTGTTTCGCGTCTTCAAGTTCTCAAGGCATTCTCAGGGTCTGCGAATCCTCGGATACACTCTGAAGTCCTGTGCATCTGAATTAGGTTTCCTCCTTTTTAGCCTCACAATGGCTCTCATAATCTTCGCTACTGTGATGTATTACGCGGAGAAGGGAGTTTCTCATACGACATTTGTGAGCATTCCAGCTGCCTTCTGGTATACTATCGTCACAATGACGACCCTCGGGTAAGCTGGGGTTAATAATTTGCTTTTTACTCTTCAAAAGTAATTCATTAGTTGGTGCAGAGGCTCCTACAAATATGCACTTGAGACTATTAATAGAGAGCAGTAGAAAATGAATATTTATCAATATGTTCAGTAGACGAGTAGACTAACGCATTGCACTTGAGGCAGAAGCGTGCAGAGAGAACGCTCACGTGCTTCAAAGCATTTATGAATGGCAGTCGGATATTAAACGCTTTATATACTTTGAATAAAGCTAGACTAGGTAACCGTAAATGGTACTTGAATACATAATGATGGCCAAGGGGAATTAGAAAAAAGACAGGGCGCGCTACTGCTGACGAATGAAGCATATGAGTTGAAGTGTTGTTTAGAAAATGAGGAGTCTGAATTGGGTGAAGGAAAACGCAGAGAGGGGAATGTTTTTACCTGATCAATTTCATTTAGTTTATAAGACTTTCACAAATATGCCACTTGCCTTCGATTGTTTTGCTGCGTTAATCAGTGAAAATAAACGTGGATTGTCATAATCGCCGATTAACCATTGGTTTACTCTATCAGTTGATTTATCTGCAAAAGTGAGATATTCCATTCCAGAAATCAACGCCTAAGGGGCATATTCGATAAAAAAACGATTGATTGCTTGATTGCTCAAACTCTCGCTCTATTTCATAATCACCGAATTAAACTGTGCTTATTCCTTGATTAGTTTTGTGTAGTATTCTCAGATGGTCAATGTTTGCGCGAATGGCTGGGCAGTAAGATATCCTGTTCAATTTTTACTTTTTCTTTCCGACGATGTTATTTATTGCATAATCTTTCAGTATTTTTTGTTCTATGAGAGGTCTGTATGTGTACTGCTACAAGCAGGGTCACTTCCTCCGACCAGTGATTTTATGTCGAGGAAAGCATCCATAGTCATGATTATTCAAGGTTTCCCTCGCTAGCCTAATTTCTGAAAGCAACTGGAACTCAGCAGAGCAGGGAACAGTCTTCCCAGAATATGTGTCCAAAACGGTGTGCTCTTTAGTCTATGCAGAAAATCTAAACAAATCTTTCTTCAGGACAATATCCGTGGACCCCTTATTGGTGAGATCTGAATAAGGCAACGGATAAGTAGAATACGGAACTACATTCAGAAAAAATTTAACCCCATATGATATAATTTATGCCGAAAATACTTTTGGCGAAATAGTTTGAACAATTTATTATCTTACGTAAATATATATTGCCATCATAAGCTACTTAAGAAAGCTTAAGATAGGAATTACTTATTGAACAAGGTTGCGGATTGTACTTCATCCCTCAGTTGGAAGAGGTTGTTGTTAGCTGTGTTTTGAATTGTCTTGCTGGACATATGCGCTTGGCTATAGGAAGCCTTAGTCTCCTGTCATACGATGCAGCCTATACTATCGTGTTCTGTGAGCTCAGACAGACAAGTGCATATTTTTTTCACTGCCTATTGTTTTTGGTCTGACAAAGTGGTAAAGGACAGTTAAACTTCAACTTTCAGCTTAGAAGTGATAACACTTTTTTGACAGGTGTTTCTGCCAGCTTTGAATAATTCATCCATCACAGTTCTAAATCATTCGATATTTTCCGTGGTAGTTGGACTCACGACAGCAAATGCAAGACTACAGGCAGCGTTCTAAATACCTAGGCTACAAGATCGCATCCGAGAGCTCGGATTTTCATCACATTTGTATCAAATTATCCTTCCAACATTTTCTGACCTAGAGAATCCCCAAATACGGATTCAACAAAATGACTGCTTCAGCAGAATGGCTTAAGTAAGCCATAAAAAATACACCTATTCGCAACAACTGGGCCAGATTTATCGTGCAAATTTGCCAAAATACCTATTAATGAAGAGAAACTGGTTGTCATCTTGTAGATTCTAGATTGATTGCTTGGGCGGTCAGGCTACCGCGTCAGCATTTATGGATTCCATACGCTGCAGGAAATTGGGTAGATAACTTGAGAAACATGCGATGGGCAGCACCTCTCGCGGTCGGTGTCTTGCAGCGCAGGTAGTTAGACTGTCGGTTGTGGTTCTACCTTACGCTTTTTATATTGGGTCCGAACCCGACCGCAACTGCCAACGGTTTTATTGTTTGTCAGTTTAGTAAATAAATGCGTTATTTTAAAAAAGCTCCTTGTTAAAAATGCATTTATTAAATGTTTGCTGCATTAAAAATGCCTATCTGCGTTCACTGGCTTCTTACAGATATGCTTTACGATTTTGACTTTTCCATACTTATCATCTTTCTTGCGGAGTTCCTTAATAATCTTGTGAAATAGTTACATGATTTGCAGTTTTGTCTGCCATTGTTACATTGTCGCTGTTTGCATTAAATGTTTGTCTTTCGGTCAATACTTTACCTATGAGAATAATTTCTGTGGATCCGGGAAATAACTAAAGAAACACTATTGAGGGACTAAATGCGAAGCACGGATCTCGTAAATGTCACAGAGGTACATGACTAAGACAATTAACTTCGAAAACCACCGAAAATATTCCCAAGGGAGCAGAAGAATAACAATAAAATTATAGGAAAAAAAATTTATGTTTACTGCCAAAACAAAGGGCTTATGCCAAGGCATAGTTACTTAATGCAGAAATATTGAGGATTAAAACAGAATGTACAAGGTAAATTTATAAAGGTAGCTTTCGATAAATAAGATCTTTCTCAATGTTTTAATGTAGATATGGAGATATGGTCCCCAAAACAATCATGGGTCAAATTGTGGGAGGCATGTGTGCTCTCTCAGGAGTGCTCGTAATTGCTCTGCCAGTCCCATTCATCGTTTCGAATTTCTCTCGAATATATCACCAAGGTCAGCGAGCGGACAAACGGCGAGCTCAAATGGTAAGTACGTAAACAATAAAATTGCAAAAGACAAAAGAATCCTAACTACACAAGCGTTGATAGAATAAACAGAAAAAAACTGATGGTCATTCAATATTTGGATGATAAATAGATGAAAAAGTCTTGCTAGCCAGCAGTTCTTAAGTTGGTTTCAGAAAGAGGAAGTATTGTGTAGCGCTCTGTTCAAAAAAGCAGCATATATTGCTGACTTAATGAAATTTTTGGGAAGTTTAACAGCTTAATTTGCTGATATGGTTTTTTCAAAAGGTGACTTTTTTAATGTTTAGCGTTGAAGAAAAAACGCCTTCGGAGGAATTACTGTGAATACTCCGACAGTAAGCGTTCTCGCGGTGTGAATAAGTTTTTCAAATAAAACTCTCTGATGGATGACCTAAATAAGATAAAAAAAGAACTTAAAAAATAAATTTCAGTTGTAGTTAACGCATTTACCGAATTTAGTGTTGAAGTGGTGAAACGTAAGCGTTTTTTTCAAAACAAAGCTAACTTATTTTAATTTATCCGAAATTACTTAATGCGAGTGAACTTGGCCTGGTGAATGGCTGACAGACATAACTAGGATACTTTGGGGAAAAAACCGATGTTTGAAGACGCGTCAAAAACTCCATTCTTTTTGACAACTTTTCGAAGAAAGCTTTCGCTAGCAAAGAACAAGTCCAGGTGTGAACAAGTGAAAGGAATTCGGACTTCTTAATCGATATTTCGCAATTACAGTCTTCATCAGATATGTCTAGATGTGTAATTTATGCAATATTTTGCTATCTTGTTTTCATTCACAATCAAACCCTACATCGCTGATGTAGGCTCGAATTATTTGTTTTGTATCGCACAGCATTAATTGTGCCTGGACAGAGTTTGTCCCTAAAATCAGTCTCCCTAATGTGCGTTGATAAACGTCACAGGTAACCCATCTCCGTATGGCAGGGATGTTTTAACTGCTTCTGGTAATGAGGAAAAAATATGGTAAGCATCTAGCTTTTATTGGGGCTAAATGCCTTCTTGTTTACTTATTTAACAACAAACAATTTTACCCTGGATTAATTGCTGTGTCACAGACATAATTGATCTAACTCTTACGGAAGGCAAACGCCTGTAGTACAAGGCGTTGTAGTACCACAACGTTTTTGATAAGAAATCACGAAATCATGCGTTACAGTATTTACTTTCAAAGCAGATGCGTCGTCTGTCATTCTATGTAAGTTAGATAAAGACCGAGAAAGGACTGAGTATAGGCAGGTAAGGTGGTACTGGCAGAAAAAAAGAAGGCCAGAATAGTAATTTTTAACCTATAAGTCGTCGTCAGCCACTCATCCCAATCTCCAAGACCCTAAGACAAACCGAGGGGGTGCTAAAATTGCCAAAAACTTTTTCGATGGCGAACGTTTTTACACCGTCTTTTCATGCATATTCCACAGAAATAAATAAATGGAATAAATAAATCTACAAAACTTCCAGCAAATGCTTAAAACATTACACAGGCCTAGTTTGTTATCCACGGATTATTCTGGACCAAAATAACTAGGTTAGAAATGTATATAGCTTTCAAGGAAAAGCGTAAGTTGGGAAATGAGGAAGCTTTATTCAGTCATTGTTTGAAGCTGGATCCCCAGACTTGAGAAATTGTGAAAGAACAATTAACATTACAAAAGTGCTGGTACAATTTTATAATCGTTTAGTGTGGGTGCTAATTGGCAGTTTTAATTTGCGTCACACCGTAGAGGACATAATTAGTAGTCACAATAGCGTAATGGCTAATTGACAGCTGTTACTTACACAAATTACCCGGGGTCACCCGAGTGTGGGCGCCACTTGCATTTCATGTTGGTCCGTCTTTATCGGCTGTAGTCTCTCCCATCTTTCTTCGAGTTGTTTGTACACACCAACCAACTCGATACGCCCGTTGTTCTTTGCAAAGTTTCTCAAGTTTGGCGACGACGCAAATTGCAAATCCCAATTAGCGCCCACACTAATCGACTATATAAATGTACCAGCACTTTTGTTATGTTAATCGTTCTTTGCACAATTTCTTCAATCTAAGGACGACCTGGGAATCCAGTGTCGAAAATCTACTGATTAAAGCTTTCTCATTTCCCAAAGAACGTCTTTCCTTGACATTACGTTTCTTGGGATGCTTGCCTTCTAGTTTATACGAAATATGATTATGTTTTGATATTAATAGATCATCCAGCATAATTTCTTCTGATCATTTTACCTTATAAAATGTAACGCATTTTATTTCGAACAAACAAATTCATAAGTTACAATGTAGGCTACCATAACAGCAGAGAGACCATTTACTCAATCAATGCATCTGCAGGACATTCAAAAAAGGCTGTGTAGTTCTCCACGAACAAGAACTGAAAAAACTCAGACATCATTAGCCAGTTTTGTCATTCTGTAGGACGAACGACGATAAATATTAGCAAATCGAATTTCAAGGAAATTTTGTCTGGACTTATATTTATCCATTTTCCAGCTACGTCATACATTACTAGATCTATGACGTACAAACAATCCCAAATACAGAAACAAAATTTGCCAGTATAGAGTCCTCATATCGAAATTGTGACTTTCTTTCTAACATTGCTGTTAATTCTTTCCCCGCAGACGGCTCTATAAAATGCCCAACAGTCTAACAATTTCATTAACGTGAAAGAAAACATCTTCATCTTCATTTGCACTATTAAAGGATTAGGCTCGCATTAAACCAGTATAGTCAAAAGGAAATCAGCGCTTTTACTTTAGGAACATCGGGTAAATCCGTGGATACGTGCAGTCCAAAAATAAAGCAACAGTTGTCTATATTTGTCCATTTAAAAATAGCATTAAAGGCACAGTGCAAAAATTTCAAATGCAAATTTTTAGAATTTCATGACAAGTTGAATAAGTCACTTTGACATTGGCGCCAATGTTATTACGTAACAAAATGTCAAGTTGGAAAGACGTTTAAGCAATTTCATTGCCTTTACTGTGGTTAACTGCGTAGCCATGCTTTAAAATGACAAATGCGATTAGGGAATTATTCCTACAGCGTCTTCGGATTGGGTCAGGCGAGTAGACGGGCTGTATATTTTCAAAGTGCTTAACACAAAATACTACATCCATTTTCCCTTACAAACGATGCAAATGTTTACAAGCAAATACACAACAAACATCCTCCTGATTAATTTTGGTAATCACACGTGGTTTATAGTCGGCTAACGACGGCCATCAGTTTAGAATGAACACCTCGGGCTTCCTCGGTGGCATCTCGGCCACATCTAGTCTTCACTTATATTTGTTATTTAAAGTATTCATGGATGCGCGCCAAGTTAAAATTAAAGTAGTTTTGACGTTGAAAGGGGAAAGTGGTTGCTGCTGGGGCAATAACACCTTCGGACGTATACAGCACCCAGTTACGAGACAGATAATACAAACTACCATCTGCGAGTGAATAACGGAAAAATCCGTCCGGCCGCAAAATTAGTATAGATCAATATTCCAGGCATTTTGCGCAACCGAATGTGAATGCTTACTGTCGTAATCTCTCTGTATGTCAAAATTGTTCCATTTTTTTCATTATTTGAACGTTAAGCTAGCAGTCATTTAAACTGTTACTCTATAGTAAATAATGTTCGGATTACTCTGACAACAGCCTTATAATGAATTATTTTATAGCACTAAATCCCACCTTTACCAATGAAAACGCTAACTCGAGAAAATATATTCTTACATTTATCAATTTTCCAAAAGGATTCTAGTCAGAAAATTACAATGATTGGTGTTACGCTTTCTACATGCACACGTTTAAGCCTTTTCTCCTATTATGCAACTTTTGTTTTACTTATGTTATATCAATTTGGGTTTAAAATGTTTAAAAATTTGGCACAGCCACGATTGCATTTAAAAATATTTGACCAAAAAATAAAGAAAGTCTGTAACGAAGGCGCATAAGGTGCACATTTATCAGCTCGCTATCCTCCTCTTTTCACTCCCCGCTTATGTTGATGACAGTTGACGGTAGGCTTCCAACTAAATAAAATTTCTCAATTTTTGCCAAAATAAAATTTATTCTAGCATCCGAGCAGTGCAATAGACGTCTGGTTTTTCTAGATCTGTGAAGATTCTGAAAAAAAGAAGTTCCGTAGTCTCTGCGTTAGGCTCAGTAGTTTTAAGAGCCCAGGCCAAAATTGATGCCCATAATCCGATAAAAATATTACTTCGATATTCCACTCACACCTTAGGAACTCTGAAGTTGACAATGGCTCCATTTCAGTTAGACCAGTCCATAAAAGTCAACACACCGGAAAAGTAAACTTGCACTTTTGCAGGGCTGCATTATTTAGATTGAAAATAAATAAAAAATCATGTTGCTACGCGACTGTACGCAAAGGCAATTGCAGCCCTTTCCGGTAATCATTCATATTTGACAAAGAAGCTGCGCGGAAGGCCAACCACAATGTCACGCCAAAATTAGTCTGGCACTTGTTGGCCTGAGTGCTGTTAGAAAAAAAAGGAATTACTTCCAGTCCTTTTAGGAATGTACCAAGGTGCAGAACACGCATTTTCCGTGTTAATGTGCTAGATGTTACGCGCCGTTTTAATACGTTCTCTTACATGATCTAGGAGTGTTCGAAAATTGGCAGAAATGACGCGTTTCTCCCTCTAAAAGCACTTATTTTGACAAAAAGCATCCCGTACATTGTGGTTACTTTCGGCTTAAATGTGTTTACTGCATAGATTTTTCGCCTTAATTTCCCAGTCAGCAGTCCTTACCTTCTTCCTGTCTTTCCAACCATAAATATGCCCTCGTTGTTTGAAATGCAGTTTGCTAGAAGGGCTTTTCGTGGGCTACTAAGATCTGGATACCTGACAAAATGCGCGCGAATTGAGGCAGATTGAAGAAGGAGAAGATCTAACGGGAATTATGAAAGCAAGCCCCTTTAGCCAAAAAGTTAGGTGGGATTAATCGGGAAGGAATCCTTTGTGTCCGGCAGCGCTGACGCTACTGGCAT